CTCGTCGGATACAAGTTTACTCGATATTGCGGTCGTAAGATCGGAGCCTCGTCCGATACAAGTTTACTCGACATTGCTGTCGTAAGATCGGAGCCTCGTCCGATACAAGTTTACTCGACATTGCCATCGTAAGATCGGAGCCTCATCCGATTGGTCCGTAGACCAAAATTGCCTACTTGGTAGGACTTGGTGCTGGGACTTTTTTTGGACTTTAATCATGTCGGTGGTGGCGAGGCCGACCCGACCGGGCTTGGGGTGCCGGTGGTGAAAATACCAACCTAACCGGACTTATTACAATGAATTTATACTATTACAATTTTTAATACGCTATTGCTACTATCTAAATACAACCGTAAGGCTTTCACGCTATACAACTCTACAATGTAAATAAAATTACAAATTTTACAAATTCTTTAATTTTTCCTTCGCTTGGATTGGCAGCAACCATAAAGGCCCACTTTATTTTCCTTCTTGCTATTGCTAAATCAAATCTTAAGATAATATGCACTGCAAGTGCCCACTCCATCTGCCATGCGTTCTTTTAGAATACCAGAATTTTGGAACGACAAGACTGGGAGTGCAAGAACTGATAAACAACAGTCAGACAACCACACTCAGCTTTTTCCGTGCTCGGGAAAACAATCTGGTAACACATATGGGAGGACTGCAATATACTCCATGGCATAGAACCAAGTATTATAAACCAATAAATACGCTGGATTGTTCGGTGATAAACATTATTTTTATCGTTATTTTAAATAATTTTTTTTATAGTTATTTTGCAATAGATAACTAATTTTATATATTATTATTGTTATAAATAGCTTTGTTAATATTATTTAATTTTAGAATAGTTTTTACAGAATTTGATTATTATTTGACTTCTATCTGATCAATAATTCCTTAATCCCATTTTAATAAGATTATTATTATTATTATTATTATTATTATTATTATTATTATTATTATTATTATTATTATTATTATTATTATTTGAGTTAATAAAATTGTTGTTAGCCGATTATTTTAGGGCCATCAGATAAACAATCTTTTTAATTTCGGTCAAATGGCGAGGAACGAGAAAGGCGCAGCAAATCAGAGCCAGTATTCCGCAGATGAATTCTTCTGGCGATCTTGATCAGCGGAGCTCAAGCGAAAGCTGTTGGATTTAGGCGTTATAAATAGAGGAAAAATTGAGAATCAAGATGATCAGTTTTGCCCCGGACCAATTCTGGTGGTGACATCGGCCACGGCGATAATTAGTTCCAACGGCGCGGAGGATTGTTCTTCGGCATCTTCAATTCCAATTTGGTGGCGAATTCTCCCATTGACAGCAAAGACAATCTTTGGCAACGACAATTTATTCACGGCAATTGTTCTCCCTTATCTTCACTTATTGTTAATTGCCATATTATTTAGTGGTTAATTGCTAATGAAATTGTGATTAGTCTTTTGAGATCAAGAGATTGTGATTAGCCTTTTTGAAAGTTGATTAGGAGTTTCGTTCCTGCAATTTCAATTAATATTTTAATTAGTTCATTGCATTTGATTTTAAGTGAAAAGTTGACTACGAGTTTTGTTTCTGCAATTTCAATTCAGCGCATGTGGTTATCTCTTAAACATGATTTACTAAGTTTTAATTGATTCATGTTTCTAGTCCTTTTTCTTAATTGTCTGCTATCTTAGTTTCCTTGGTTTTTTATTATATTAATTCCTAAGGTGCCTTTATTTGATTTAATTTCCACAATTGAAACTTTATTTTGAATTCTTTTCACTCTTTATTCATGTGCTATTTTATTTCGTAGTTATTCAGTTATTTTTCCCTGCATTTATTTTTGCAGTAGTATCATTTGGTTAAATACATTTTGATTCTTAATTAGTTTTGAATTTTTAAATTGTCAAGTTTATATTATTTTTAAGTAATTGAATTGCAACGTACAATTCCCTGTGGGATCCACCATTGCTTTTGCATGCTATAACTATAATCGACTCGTGCACTTGCGAGGACATATTAAAATTGCCCATCATTCGGCCATTAGCTCAGTGATGCTCGGGGCAATTTGAACGAGGAGCCCGGGGCAGTTCTTTGTAACTAGTGGCTATACTTGATTGACAATCGCTACCGGGTAGAAAGAATCTTCATATCGCGACCGGTACTGCGCTCGACCGCGGTTCTAGAGGTTTGTTCAAAACTTTTCCAGAGAAAATCTAACTCAGTCTGTTGCATAGAATTTAGGTTGGGAAACAAACGGAGACCTCGACCGTAGCTTTCCACTTTCTCGTTTGTCTTTTACTTGCCCGGGAGGCCCTGGGGTTGGAGCACGTCGGAAAAACGGTGAACTTGCTCGGGAAATTTAAACAACCAACTCGGGAGTTAAATAATCAGCTCGGGCCTCAGAGCGCTCGGGGACAATGCCGATTAAATACGATCGCTCGACCACCAGTCTGGAAAGGTCTGGATCACAGTAACTAAGAATAACTGCTCGGCCGCCACATTTGAAAGCTCGGCAACGGGTTCGGGTAGCTTAGAACGCGCGCGAGAGCACTTTCACTCGATCGGGAAACCATGCAGAGTTCGACTCTAGCCCTTAGCTCGGGAACACGACTCCGGCCATATACTAAACCACCCACAGAGTGAGTTGATTAACAATATGCACTGCAATACAATTTTCCATGCCAAAATTCATCCGATTCTATTCTGGCAACACAGGGGACGACCCGAACGGCTGAGGTTGAGGTCGGGGAGTTGCGAGTGCGATCGGGATTTATCACTTGCTGCGATCTTGGAGATTTACAATTTTGACTAACTTGCTCCGTGCACAGCTGGGTGTACACAAGCTCTGGATGATCGATTGATCACTTGCTTTACGTGGGAATATTTGCCATTTGGTTAATCTTTGTATAGAATACATTCAACCGACAACTAATCCTTCATACTCCGCTCTTTTAACTTTCTTCTGGCCTGAGTTCGACGGTGGTTGCACGGGATATCCATTCGGAGAAGTGGCAGCACACGCTCTTGTTCGCAACTTAACCGGTGCGGCCGGAGGCCACTAACTGGGGTAGCCATCCGTTGGGGAGCTCGGTAGACGTCGGGGGACTTGACCGGTTGGCGGGAGCTTCCTGGCTTGGCACACTCCACCGCCATCCCCCACCAATTAGATTGCATGCACGTCTTAATTTTCTATTTTCTTTTCTTTTTAAACATCACCGCCACCCCCACCAATTAGATTGCATGCACGCACCATTAATTGCTATTTTCTCTACTTTCTAAACTCCACCGCTCCACCGTCACCCCCATCACTGAAACTGAAGCTCTAGCATTTTTCAGTTCTTAGCATTATTTACTTCTGTTATTATCTTTTTTTTATTTATGCTGCCATGCACTATTTGCTCATAATTATCCCCTCTACCCCCACCTTTAACTTGTGTTTTCTGCATGAAAAACAGGGAGAAACACACACAGGAAATGACGCGGAGGACCTGGTGTTGGCCTTCAACGCTGCTGCGCCATAGAAGCGCGGCGAGGAGAGAGGAGCTTGGCTCCGGCTCTGCATGGTGGGGGGAGCCCCTCTGGAGGCGAAAAAAGAAATATTGTGATGGTGGTGATGAGATGATCCAGATAACGAAGATGTAGCCACTGAAAACAATAACGACGCCCTGCTTTCTTCTCAGATGAGTAATGCTGGCAAATGGCCGGGTCTCCTCTGCAGTAAATCGAAGAAGGCAGCTTCTGCATGTTGGTCTCTGATGACAGGATCGCAAGTGGTGCAACAACTAGTGTCTGAAATTCACTCTGTTACTCCCTCAAGTAGCAATAAACAGAGGAGATGGACGGACAAGCATTGTGGTGTAGCGGTTAAGGCATTGGTTCGGCTATTTAAGCATCTGGGTTTAAATCCTTCTAACTCCAGAATTTTTGAGTTTGGATTCTTCTAACTCCAGAACCTCCCAAACTAGTTTTGTACTCAGCTTGTGCCTTCATCCCATCCATCAACATGCCAAAAATGGAGAAAATAAGCCAATAATCAGAGTGGTGCAGTGGTTGGGGTGCTATTTCGGTAGCTAGAGCACTTGTGTTCGAACATCCCTAGGGATGCAGCTTGTTGTCATGGTTTCCACAGACGGTGCCAGGTATATGTAAATGTATGAACAAAGAACAAGAAGAGATATAGCAGACGGTGCCAGGTATATGTAAATGTATGAACAAAGAACAAGAAGAGATATAGCAAATGAACCTCTTTTATTCATTATGTTCTTGTATGTGTTTAGAGAGAAGGGAGAGCTACAAGTTAGAGAGAGAGAGAGTGACCAAGGGAAAAAACCCCCCTATCTTAGAGGGCCAAAGGCCCTTTTATAGGCACACGGAGGTCAACAAAGAACAAGAAGAGATATAGCAAATGAACCTCTTTTATTCATTATGTTCTTGTATGTGTTTAGAGAGAAGGGAGAGCTACAAGTTAGAGAGAGAGAGTGACCAAGGGAAAAAACCCCTATCTTAGAGGGCCAAAGGCCCTTTCATAGGCACATGGAGGTGGCGGGTTTTGACCCGTCACCTTTGACTTTGACCCGCCGACCGGGTCCCGAACCGCTTGACCCCGACCCGACTATAAAATGGGAACTCAGACGTATTGGGCACTCGGACTCGGGGTATATAACCTATCAACTATCATGAGTCATTTAGGGGGTATAGGTGCATGGACTTATAGACTAACAAGATATATGTATGCAGGCATGTTCGATTTGATGAAAGAGTTTTTCCTTTCAGTACTAAAAGTGTTTTGCAGGTACCTTTGGTTCAGACAAATCAACCGTGGGTAGAATCTGTGCTTGTTCTGGTCCCGCCCGCTGATGCGGTTAAGCATGCACCGCTCGAACCAGCACTGGCTCACGCTAACTAGCCGGAACGACCCCAGGCCGAGCACACTGAGCCTGCTGAAACAGTTGCTGCCATCTGACCTCGAGGCCGGTCTACACGGCCAACGGTCCGGACGCACATCATGGCTACTCGGAGCCGTTCTGAGGTTCTCATTTTGGCTCTCTCTGCTCAGGTTTGCCCTACTGAACCTACTTGCTATACACAAGCAGTAAAACATGGTGAGTGGCGCAAGGCAATGGATGAAGAGTTGAATCCACTTCTTCAGAATGAGACTTGGTGTCTCGTTCCATCACAGTCAGGTATGAATGTTATTGGATGCAAATGGGTTTTTCGCACCAAAAGGAAAGCTGATGGATCAATTGAATGATACAAAGCAAGGTTAGTAGCCAAAGGATTTAATCAAGTACATGGACATGATTTATTTGACACATTCAGCCCAGTAGTCAAACCCACAACTGTCAAGTTACTTCTCTCTCTAGCTATATCCTCTGGTTGGGTTGTTAAGCAGCTTGATGTGCACAATGCCTTTTTGAATGGGAAATTATCTGAAACTGTTTATATGAAGCAACCGCCTGGATATATTGATAAACAGTTTCCTAATCATGTTTGCTTGTTAAAACGCTCTCTGTATGGATTAAAACAAGCTCCTAGAGCTTGGTTTAATCGCTTGCATGCGTTTCTGATGTCAGCAGGGTTTAAAGCTTCAAAAACATATGTATCTTTATTTTACTACTCGCAAGATTCAAGCTTCATTTATATTCTAGTATATGTTGATGATATTCTTGTAATGGGCAATGATCAAAATCTTATTAGTATTTTACTAGCAGAATTGTCATCTAAATTCAATATTAGAGATCTTGGCGAACCTGGTTTCTTTCATGGGGTTGAAACTGTTGAGTGTGATGATGGAATCTTGTTTTCTCAACAAAGATACATGACAGATATTTTAAAACATGCTGGCATGACAGACTGTAAATCTTTAGCCACTCTTATATCTGTTTCGAAATCCACTGTCTTTAATGCAGACTTATATGATGATGCTACACAGTATATGAGTTTGGTTGGAACTTTACAGTATCTTACGGTTACTCGTCCAGATCTGTCCTTTGCGGTCAACCAACTCTGTCAACACATGCATGCTCCTACAGTCTCTCATTGGGAGCAATTAAAACGTGTATTGAGGTATGTAAAGGGAACTATTACTTATGGTCTGCGAATAAGGAAGTCAGTGTCTAGAGATTTACATGCTTTTTCTGATTCTGATTGGGCTGGCTGTCCTGAGGATCGTAAGTCAACTAGTGGTTATGCTATTTTTCTTGGCTCCAATATTATATCATGGGTATGTAAGAAACAAAGAATTGTTGCTAGATCATCTACTAAGCCTGAATATAAAGCTCTAGCATATGTCTGTGCTGAGGTAATTTGGATTCTCTCTCTGCTGCGTGAAATTGGCGTGACAAATGTGTCTACTCCCAAGCTGTGGTGTGATAATCTTGGTGCTACATACATGTGTGCAAATCCTATTTTTCATGCTCGGACTAAACATGTAGAAATTGATTATCACTTTGTTAGAGACAGAGTTGCAAATGGAGATATACAGGTTAATTTTATTTCGACTAAGGACCAACTAGCAGATATTTTTACTAAAGCTCTATCTGAACCTAGATTTCATTTTCTTAGAGACAAGCTACAAGTCACTACTGTACCTTGTGCTTGAAGGGGAGTATTAAGACTCTATGTATTTGAGTTAAATTATGATTTACTATCCCAGTCTCTCTGAGACTCTCTCTTTATATATACCTGTAATCTTTACATTTGTAATTATATTATTCAATACAATTCATTCAGTTCTCATCATATAAACTTTAATCTGTGAATACATAATTTCTTCTATACTTTAAGTTTATAATATATGAATTGTAGGTAAATAAGTTTAAAATTAGAAATTCATAAATTGAATATGACAATACTTCATGACGTTAATGTATTGAGTTTATGAATTGGCTTAGTAATCTTAGGATGGTCAACATGCCATCACACTTGTACAAACTGATTACATCTTCGAAACACATAAATCTCTCTTGCATGGGGTTGGTTCTCATATCAAGTCAAATGATGTGTTTCATTTCAATTAAAAGTTTAAACTAGAATATATAATAATTACTTATATTTATGATATTTAAAAAGGTTCACCTTAGTACCTTATCAGTTACCAGTTCACGATATAACAATCAAGCATAAGCCAATACTAAATTCGATGCATATGCAACACACCTTTAGCATGTACGGACGACAATCACTACCAAAACTAAACACAATTTTCTTATTATTTTAATTTCATAGTAGGTAATATTATATGCGGTAGTGTTTTAAAATAAGTTATTATTTAAAATTCTCGATCATGTTTTACCAAACAGAGTTTATAGGCTAATTAAAATATCATTGTAGCTTAATTAGTGAATTGAGTAAAATGTATTTGTTTTTGGGGATAATATCTATTGGGTCATGCAATAATCCAACTAAAAAATATCATTGTAGCTAAATTCAAGATTTAAGAGGAGTATGAAGAACTCTTTGTAGATGAAATCAGAAGGGTGGTCCAAAAACTCTACAGATCAAGCATATGGGATGGAGGGAATTGAATGAAAATGTTCATAACAGAACAGTCAAGCAAGAGGAAGGAAGTTCATAGACTCTTCCAAGGGAAAAATATAGACTTTTTGATAGTTAGGGTCCGTTTGGAAAGCAGGAAAATGACTTCTGGAAAATGTTTTCTGGAAAATGAGTCATTTTCCGGAAAACATTTTCCTTTTCGATGTTTGGTTGCATTCTGGAAAACTGTTTTTGTGTGTTTGGTTCATTTTCTGGAAAATAAGTAGAATTGTATAATTAAATATTTTAATTATTTTATTTAGAATATTACAACATGTATAATAAAAAATATAATAATAATTTTAAATATAATAAAAAATAAGTAATAATATATAAAAAATATTATGGTGGTGGTGGTGGTGTAGTGGTAGTGGTGTTATTTGTTATATAATAATAATAATAATAATAATAATAATAATAATAATAATAATAATAATTGGTGGTGGTATGACGGTGGTGGCAGTGGTGGTGGTGGCAGTGGTGTGGTGGCGGTGGTTGGGGTGGTGGTGGCGACGGTTACGGTGGTTGCGGTGGTATGGTGGTGGTGTGATGGTGGTGGTGTGGTGGTGGTGGCGGTGGTATGGTGGTGGCGGCGGCGGTGGTATGATGGTGGTGGCGGCGACGGTGGTTGCGGTGGTATGGTGGTGGTGGCGGCAGCGGCGGTGGTAGTGGTGGCGGTGTGATGGTGGTGGTGGTAGAGGCAACGGTGGTTACGGTGGTATGGTGGTGGTGGTGGCGGTGGTGGTGGTAGTGGTGGTGGTGTGGTGACGGTGGTATGGTGGTGGTGGTGGCGGCGGCGGCGGTGGTAGTGGTGGTGGTGTGATGGTGGTGGTGGTATGGTGGTGGTGGCGGCGGCGGTAGTGGTGGTGGTAGCGGCAACGGTGGTTACGGTGGTATGGTGGTGGTGGTGGCGGTGGTGGTGGTGGTAGTGGCGGTGGTATGGTGGCGGTGGTATGGTGGTGGTGGTGGCGGCGGCGGCGGTGGTAGTGGTGGTGGTGTGATGGTGGTGGCGGTAGCGGCAACGGTGGTTACGGTGGTGTGGTGGTGGTGGTGGCGGCGGCGGCGGCGGCGGTAGTGGTGGTGGTGGTAGCGGCAACGGTGATTACGGTGGTATGGTGGTGGTGGTGGTAGTGGTGGTGGTGTGGTAGCGGTGGTATGGTGGTGGTGGTGGCGGCGACGTTGGTTGCGGTGGTATGGTGTTGATGGTGTTGGTGGTGGTAGTGGTTGCGGTGGTGGTGTGGCGGCGGCGGCAGTAGTGGTGGTGATGGTGGTAGTGAGGTGGTGGTGGTATGATGTTGAAGATGGTGGTGGTGTGATGTTGGTGTAAAAGTTAGAAAATGACTTCCCCCAGAAAAAGGGGAAGTCATTTTCCTCCAAAATAAGCCTATTTTCCAAAGTTGGTGTGTTTGGAAACCCGGAAAATGATTTCTGGAAATCATTTTCCGGGTTTCTGGTGTTTGGCTACGCAAGGAAAATGAAAGTCAATGGAAAACAACTTATGGTCAATGGAAAATCACACCTATTTTCCGGAAAATGACTTCCCCTTTTTTTTGGGGGAAGTCATTTTCCATCTTCTAAACACACACACCAAAGCCAGACTTCCTCCTTCAACAACACCATACCTTCACTGGTTTCTGGCCGGAAACCAGAAAAGTTCTCTGGTTTCCGGCCGGAAACCAGCTCTCTCTGGTTTCCGGCGGAAACCAGAGAGAAGCTCTCTCTGGTTTCCGCCGGAAACCAGAGAGCTTCTCCCTGGTTTCCGCCGGAAACCAGAGATCTTCTCTCTGGCTTCCAGCCGCGGAAACCAGAGAGCTCTCTGGTTTCCGCCTTTCAGGCCGGAAGCCAGAGAGAATGGCGGAAACCAGAGAGTACAACTCTCTGGTTTCCGCCTTTTTTTTTTTGTTTTGTTGTTTTCTTTTTTTTTTTTTAATTTTTTTATTAAATAATATTATTTGATTTTATTAATAAATATTATTATTTATAATATTATTGTAAATGTTATATATTTTAAACAAAATAATTAATTATTTAAAATGTTTAATTATACAATTCTATATCATTTCCAGAAAATGAGCCAAACACCAAAAGACAGTTTTCCATTTTGCAGCCAAACACCAGAAAGGAAAATGACTTTTGGAAAATGACTCATTTTCCAGAAGTCATTTTCCAGAAGTCATTTTCCGGCTTTCCAAACGGACCCTTAACGGAAAATGATTTCCGTTGACTTGATTTTCCAGGCACATCCAAACAATGGAAACTTGGAAAATGATTTTCAGAACTCATTTTCCAGGTTTCCAGACACACCCTTAGTGATGTCTAAATTAAATGTCTTCAAAATAAACGGAGTAAGATAATGGTACAATTAAGACTCTTTAATCAAAATGTCAAGTCCAAATTGTACCAAAATCAAGCCATAACACCGTATTAATAGTGTTTAAGTATAGTTTGGTGAGTATATATTGTCTCTGTTTGGTAAAATAGTTAATTTATAGGGCAATTTTGACTTATTTGATCACTATTAACTTTTAAATTTTGTTAAAAAATTAATATTTTTTTTTTGAATGCTACTGGCTCTATTACAATATAGTAAAACACAAAGAACAAATAACACCTCCACTAAGGCTCAAACTTACAACCTTCCAAATGAAAGTCCAACCCAGATACCATTAGACCACATAGTCTTGATGATTAAAAAATTAATATAAGTGTTGTTAATTAGCTTTTTGTAACTCCAAAATGCTAAAATTCAAAAAAATGCTCAAAACAACTTTTTCAATTAATTTTTTGAGAAAGGAAATTATACCAAACAGCTATCAGCTAACAACTATTCAATTAATTTACCAAACACCTTTCTACAATCAACTAATATTTTCAATTAGTTATATCATCTAATTAACCCAATCAACTAACCGCTAACAGCTATCGGCCAACGACCATTTACCAAACTGGGCCAAAAAAAAAAAAAAAAAAGCAAAAACAACAACAATTGAGATTAGGGGTGGAAATGGGCCGAGCCAAGCTGAGCTTTGAAAAATTAGGCCTGGGCCTGTTACGAAAATCTAAGGCATATGTTCGGGCCTGAGCCTGTATGTAGACTTTTTGTTAGGCTCAAGCCAGAACCTACAATTAGCCTGGCCTGGCCTGAAGCCTTTTTAAAAGCCTGTTTAATATTTAGGTTATTAAAAATGCTTCAAAGTAAGTCCTACCTTGAGCCTATTAAAGCCTACATGTTAAGACTTTTTAAAAACTTTAGTATATCTAAATAATATAAGAAATGTACATAATGTAAAACTCGTACATAATTACATAAGTATATCACCACAATGCAAACATAATAGCAAATAAATATAAAATAAAACAAAACAAGTCACGACTTCAGCATGTTCGTTAACTTGTTTAGAAATAAATTTAATTGTATTATTGTTTGTTATCATATATAATATAGTAAATAATTAACAATCAACTCACATAATTAAGTTGTGACACCTTAATAAAAAAAAAAATTACACAATAAGAACACTTATAGCAGGATTAACAGCAATGTTTATAGTTGAGTCATAATTTAGAATGGAATTTTGGAGGTGCAGAGTTAGCTAGGGTTTGGTAATTATATATACTTGGGGTTATATTCTAAATAATATATATATATATATATATATATATATATATATATATATATATATATATATATAGGCCAGGCCTGTAGGCCTGAAGCCTGAAGGTCGAGCCCGGTATATATAGGCCTGGCCTGTTTAGTATAATAGACTTTGAAATTGGCTCAAACCTGGCCTTTTTACTAAACGAGCTAGGCCTAACTAGGCTTTAATTAGGCCTGGACATAGACCCCTACAAGGGGCCTGGCCTATTCCCACCCCTAATTGAGATATTATAGGTCCTATTTGATAACATAGTTAGCTTATCAGTCGATTTTGACTTATTTGATCACTATTAGCTGTTTGACTTGGTTAAACAACCCATAATTTGATTAATTATCTTTTTGTAACAATTTATTACTCCAAAACGTTAAAATTCAAAAAGTTGCTTAAAACAATTTTTTCGATCAACTTTTTGAGAAAGTCATTTTGCATATCAGCTATCAACTAACCGCTAATTTATCAAACATTTTTTTACAGTCAACTAATGCTATCAACTAGTCAAACTCACTACTAGCCCAGCTAACAGATATTTACCAAACACCTCCTAAATCTATTATACATCTATAATTAAGAAACCAAAATTGACCCCCAAAATTAAAGGAGTAGTCGAGTATGTGGAACATAACCTTTAATTAAAAAATCACAGTTCACTCAACAATAATCCCTACTCCCTCCGTCTCATTTTATGTGTCGGGTTCGATTAACGATATTCGTCCCATTTTATGTGTGGGGTTATTTACAATTTAATTTTTCATAATATTAAGTTTAAAATTAGTATGTAAAATTTATATATTTAGAAAGTATATTATAAGTACTATGGAACATACAAAAAAAAAATTAAATTTAAAAATAATAAGAAAATGCTAATAGAAATAAGCAAGGAAGAAAGAGTTGGTTAAAAAAAAAAAAAAAAAAAAAAGACACAAAGAGAGTATAGTATTTAAAAATTTGTGATCTTCTTATAATTACTAAATAATCAAAATTTAAAAAAAAAAAAAAAAAAGTTAGTTTCATCTTCTTTCCCAAAGCTATAATGAGATTTTTTTTTTTTCTTTTTCTGTTTAAGCATTGTGATTCCCTAATCAAATATTATTTACAATAGAAGAAATATATTATATTACATATTTACATTACATACATCAATTAACTCTGATGGGATGGGATTAGTGGATGTTGTGCATGATGGGGTTGGGACGTCGTCTCCGGGCGTTGATCGCCGGCGACTGGTCCCTGTCAGCGCTACTGTCTTCTCCGTCTTCCTTCACCCTACAATTCACCACAGTATCGAGGCCGTCGTCGGTCTTGGCGGAGTAGTTCAAGCTCACGTCTGTGGATTCCGAAGTGGATTTTGATAGGGTTCCGCCCTGCCCCGGCTGCTGCTGGCGTTTCAAGAACAAGCATATAGCGGCGCAGTCATCAATCTTGGCGCAAGGGTACCTGTATTTCCATGCCCGGACTGCGCGTTCTACTAGAACCTTTGCCGCCGACGATCTCTTCTTTGCTGAACATACCACTTTTATCACCTCATTGTTGCTCAGAACATCCCATATCTGAATTCAAACCACCATTTTTTATTTATTTCATTAATTTCCTACTGTTGACTCTCTCTCTCTCTATATATATTTTCAGGTGCAAACATGCGGACTTCTTTAGTATGCACGGTAAATTTTACATGAATGCACAATAACTACTCTAGCTCGTCGTGCATTATTTTAATAATTTTCGTGCATTTATGTAGTAGATGCAGTGTATTCATATAGTAGGTACTAAGATGGAATAGTTATTGTGCATTCATGAAGAACTTAGTGTGCATTACTGAAGAAGTCCGCATGTTTTCATGTTAAGAGGTGTTCTCACGGCAAAACACTATTTTTTGTTTATTTAATTTGGTAATGTTCTGGTGATAACAGAGCTTCTCGTGCGGTGAGTGCGGTTTATTCCATTAGGTATGTATAAATGCACCACACAGTGTTCGAAAATACATCATTATGTGTGGTGCATTTTCGAACACTGTTTGATATATTTATACATACCTAATGGTGTAAACCGCACCAACCTCACGGAAAGCCCGGTTATCATTTGAACAAAAATCTATATATATATAGATAGATTTATTTTCAGGTGAGAATATGCGGATTTCTTTAGTAATGCATGATAAATTTTACATGAATGTACAATAACTACTCCAACTCCGTGACTACTACATAAATGCATCATGCATTATTGTAGTAACTTTCGTGCATTCATGTAGTAGTGTCTGTGCACCCATGTAGCATTCATGTAGTAGTTACGGAGGAGTACGTATACATTTTAGATAACACAAAACACATGATTTTATTTAGATAACACAAAACACATGATTTAATTTGATATGAAAGTGGAATGAGAGATACCCCATCTGTTGCTAAAACAATGAATTCATCGTTATCTGTTAGCCTTCTGTAATACAATTCAGGGACTGAGGTGAGGCCATAGGTTTTGAGGCAAAAGTCTCCAAATGCTCTTGCCATGGCTAGGCCAGGACCATTGTCATCGGGCATCCATAACCTATACACGTTTGGTTCTTCCTCCATTGCGATAACTCTTCCATTACAGTTTTTAATTCGTTCAAATTCACCTAATAACCAAACCGAATTAGCAGAGTAGAAGATATATATATTATGGAAGGATAAGTAAAATTTTCTACGAGAGCTAGATGTCAACCAACTGGCTAGCTGCCATAAAATGTGTTGGGGGCGACAATTACATCAATGAGAGTTTTGCCTTAGACGCTAAAATCTAGCCAAGTTAGCTAGACATGTTGACCTGATTAAATTCAGGGACCAAGGCAATTCGAAAGGCACAACTGGGAGCTATTGTTGTTCTCTGATGAGCTCATGGTAGGGTAAAATCAGTTTGGCACGTATGAGGGGTAAGGTTGGTCCACCGAGTAAGAAGGGCCCTGGAACATGGCACGGGCGCTGGGTGTTGCGCCGGACTTATAGAGCTATGAGCTAATTAAGAACATAATAACCTACTTGGAAGGTTAGGCTTCAAGTCGATGGTGAGCTGTTCTGGAACAAGTTGGCCTGTATTATCATCTCTTGTGCAGATGATAGCCCGAGAATCCCCTAAATTCCCAATTATTAAATGTTCTCCCTGCAAACCAAAATGCACAACTACATACCAAGTTGTATATATGTTTGGATGAAGCAAGAAATGAAATCATAATAACTAATTAATTAACCTGTTTGAGAACAGTAACTGCTGTTGTACCACTGCATTGGGTATCAATCTTGGTTTCGCCTTCGAGTTCTTCGTCCATCTCTACATAGGACTTGACAAAATTGGCTTTCAACTTGGTAAAAAAGGGGGTGTTGATGAAGAGGTCATTATTATTATTATGATGATGATGATGATGATTATTATTATTATTATTATTATTGTTGGAATTTTCTGTGGGTGCCACGCCCAGGTTTGAGAGTTTCATTGAGAGCGAAAGCTTTGATGGCAAGGTATCGCGTACAAAACGCGACACCTTGTGGCCGTAGGGTCCGTGCCCATCAAAAACACCGCAGAAGTATGCACCTTGCTGTCCTGTGAAGTTCTGAACACAACACCACATCACAAATGATACAAATAATTGTTAGAATATGCGCTTATCACTACACCAAAAGCTATAACACATTTTCGAAAGTCAGGATGCTAGGCTTGTTTTTTATCGCTTTCGTCCAACAATCCCCTAGTCACACATGGTGCTGGACTTGGCCCTCACCGGCCTCCGCCCAATAATCCCCTAGCCACATGGTATTGAGTTTGGCCTTTACTAGCCTCTGCCCAATAATCCCCTAATCACATGGTGCTAGACTTGGCCCTTTACCGGCCTCTGCCCAACAATCTCTCTAGCCATATGATACTAGACTTGCCTCTTACGGCTTCTGCCCGGTAATCCCCTAGCCACATGGTATTGAGTTTGGCTTTTACTGGCCTCTGCCCAATAATTTCCTAACCACATGGTGCTGGACTTGGCCCTCTACCGACCTCAGCCCAACAATCCCCTAGCCATATGATACTGGACTTGGCTCTTACCGGCTTCTCCCCAATAATCCCCTAGCCACATGGGTATTGAGTTTGGCCGCCTCTGCCCAATAATTTCCTAACCACATGGTTGTGGACTTGGCCCTTTACCCACCTCTGTCCAACAATCCCCCTAGCCACTACATGATACTGGACTTGGTTCTTATTGGTTTCTGCCCAATAATTCCTTAGCTACATGATGCTGAATTTGGCCCTTAACCGGCCTCGGCCTAATAATCCCCTAGTCACATCACATGGTGCTAGGCTTCGCCCTTACCGGACTCCTCCCAACATAAATATAAGCTAGGTTTTGGTTTCAATCGGAGAGAACGTAAGAGATTTGTATGATTATTCCAATTTGCAAGCAAGCAAGCGAGCAAAATGTATATATGATTTCTGTAAAATTGAATTTGAATTTGTTAAGAAAATGGCAGGCTGCAGGCAGAAATGAATTGAAAAAAGAAAAAAGGTACGTACCTCCCAAACAGTCATGGCATCTTGATTGATACCCTTTCTGCCTTGTTTAGAATACATGGATGTAAAAGCAGAAGATCCATGAAGCCTCACACGTGCATCATAATCTCCTCTTGCTGTAACGCCATCATATTCACCATCTTCAACATTTCTGTCAACTACTCCCCGTAGCCCCCCCAAGTTTCCCACTCCGCACCCATTTCTCTTATCAATCCCACACCTTTGGCACGTAATACATCCACCCATATCTCTAATTAAGATCAACACGTACGTACAAAACAATCAATCAATCAAATACAAAACCTAGCTTCAATATAATAATTCTATCTAGGATAATATGATAGAAAGAAACTACAAAGAAAAGGTAGGATTCCTAATTTCTGATGATTAGAAAGGATAATTAGGGAGGCAAGTCATGAATGTTGAGGTATCTGAGGAAGAGAATAACATTCATGATTTGGCGGGATAACAAGCTAAGAGGAACGTAACAACTAATTAACAAAACACTTTTGAAATGGAATCCATTTTTTTTATCAAATATATAAACTAAGAATATAACATGTAACACATAACACCATCTTTCCTTGATGACCATTGGATTATTAATTATATCGCACACTAATAATGCCACACTGTGCCTACCATTATCTTACCACTCAATTTTACATTAGCTTTGCCCACCTCTCCTCTCCTCTCTCTCTCCCCCATTCATTTAATTTGGACATTTGGTCCCCTATTTAATTTGCATTCAGTTTTAATTTTTCCATTTAATCTCTATATGTATGTACTTATAATTGGTTCCTTATATCTTTTGTCAACTACACAACTGCAGATTTTAATTTAATTTGGTCGTACCTTAGCTTGCTTCTACAAATATTTCCTAGTCCTAGCTAGAGACCACAAAACCTTTAGCATACGCAAGCTAGGACTGAGAATATTGGCAACGCTAGGGATCGGAGTGAAGTATCGGGTAGAGATAATCAATTGCCAATATGCCATGTACGCTATTTTCATCACTATCCAATTATGCCCGTATAGATTGCTCAGTTAGTCACAGAGGTGAAGTTTGAGAACAATGACCCGTGAACTAGTCTCAACAGTGTGTGAACAACCTCTGAAAGTGAAGGTGCTCCTTGCATATGCTCTGTCCGACTCTTGGGGTTGGGGATTCAGCCTTTTGGGAACGATGACTATCCAATTATTAAATGCTAAAAGGAAAATTATATATATATTTCCAATGATAGTAGTCGCATTTTAATATGAGCACGAAATAAGATGTGTATTGAAATTTATTATATAAATTTGCATGGGCAAAGTGCACAACAAAGAAATCAAGTGCTCTGCAGTAGAAATGGGCTCTGTATTGACAGGAAAAGCAGAACCTCTACATACTAAATACAACATGCCTTTAATACAAACTTTACACACAAAAATTGGTAATCTAGCTTAGGACTCTCCTAAATTTTACTGACAACAAGACGCTTTCACGCTGACTTCTGAGTCATGCAACAAAGATAAGTTTACCTAATTACAAATTGGGGGTGCAATATATAATCTCAAAATTTTAATCCATAGTAGGAGAGAAGGAAAAGGAGAATGGTAGTGATGAATCGAGAGAAAAACATAGTAATATTACCATGCAAACAAGCAAGGGCTAATGGCATGGAAAGGAAAGAGCTTTTATGACAAATATTCACATATCAAATCTATTGCGTTGTAAAGTTTTTCAAGAATCACTCCAACTGTCTTCATTGTCATCTTCGTCGCTTCCAGCAAAAGCCTAATACCATAAGAAAAACTAGTCAATATGCTAATGACTGGATAGAAGAAGAAGAAGAAAAGCACATGTACTTGCAGAAACACAAATGAGCATAGAGAGAGACCTGGCGAATCGTTTTTGCTCTCTCTAAAATGGCAACAACTCTGAGATTGGTTTGAGGACCCTGAATATTAGGTCTTGCTGCAGCTGTTGGTCTCAGATTGAAGGACTGGAAATCAAGAAAGGCTCAGTCATGGGCTTAAAGCCAAATGGAAGGCAAGTACACAGTGGAACAATATGTTGCATAGATAAAAATGATAATACAAAATAAAATAACAGTAGAGCTTTCACGGCTTTACCTTGGTCCTTATCAGTTCCAATAGTGAATCTCTTTCATCTACCTTCCATGCCTGGTTCTTTACTTGATCAGTCACTTTCCTCAGCTGCAAAAGGCTTCAGTTTGTTAAAATTCATTTAACTTACAAAATCATGTTGTTCCAAGTGAAGAAAAAGAAGGTGCTATTTACTCTGCTTCTGTCAAATGCAGCAACAGTCTCAATAGAAGGGCTTTGAACTCCGGGATGTTTCACTTTCTGGCTTCCATTTACTATTCCATCTTCCAAAGCTGGCTGCACAATCTCCACCTCTGAATCACGAATAGCATGCAAAGGCTTTTCATTTTCTACTGTCAGAGCAGATGGTATGGCGTCAGTGGTGATGAAATTTGCCTCTAAACTTGTGTCATGTTTTTGGAGCTTCAATTCATTCAAGCTCGTCTCTGGTGCTACTTGGTCTAGGGATTGAGTCTCTTCTTTCTCTACAGACTTTGAATGAGTGGAGCCTGAATCTTCAGAACTTTCTTGCAGCCTTATTCTGTCATTTGTTGCCAAATATCCTTCTGAACATTTATACCCCTCTTCAAGCTCTTGAACCTTTAAAACTGTTTCTTCTGCTGCTTGCTGTGCAGGTTGGATGAGTTCTTCTGGTGATGTTCCAATATCAAGCATAGAGGCTTTGTCTACAGAAATTACTTGTGGGATTGAATAGAGAGGATCCAGAGTTCCTTTCTTTTGGACAAGAGAAGTCTGTAGGTTGTCACTGACTGGTCCTGAAAAAGAAAGGTGAGGATTTGTGGAATGTGTTGTGGTTGGAAAACTGAAACTATCGTCACTGTTTTCATCAAGAACTGCATGTGAAACAGGCAAGGACAGTGGACCAGAATGTTCCATATTGTAAGCTGCAGATTCATAGAAGTCAGGGGAGCTTTCCTTTGCTATGACTGGTGGGAAAATTTGTTCCAGAGGTTGAACTGTCTGATCAATCTTCGATTGGTAAGTAGACAAGAGCCCTGTGTCATGCTGTGCTACGTTTCTTTCCAGAGCAGGGGAAGCAAGTTGAACTTTCCCCAATCTCCATTGAACTGGAGGGAGAGGAGGCAATGGAGGAATTTCCTCAGGACTGATTTGATTATTCCCTGGAAGCAGTGCAAAGCCAGGAGACATACAAGTCAATGAGTTTCGGGGATCTTTATCAAGATCCAAACTGTTGTTGTCATGTGAAGACAGCTTTGACACCAAAGGCTGACTTGGAAGACTCTCTGGCATTAATCTAGAAGAAGTGGCAACAGTTCTTTCTAAGACTTGTGTTCTTTCCTGTAAAGGTGACAGCTCATTATTGGCTTCACCTTTACCTACCAAGCCCCCATCAAGTTGAATGTGTGCTAACTCAACATTTTCTTCTATGCAGTGATGGGTTGGCAAAGACAAAGCATCATCAGAGCTGCCCTTATCCAGATTTTCACACGGTATTCTTTCTCTGATGACATTGGTAAGATTATTTCCTGATGAAGATATTGGTTCCATTTCTAAAACACTTTGCCCAGTAGCTACACAGGTCACCTTGTCAAGATCTGACGGAAGCACATTGCACTGAAGAGGACTGTAGCCAGCAATATCGTGTGAAACTGAGTCTGAAATTGGTGAAGTTATTCCATGGTGGCCAACATTTAGTTTGTCTAACTCCTTATGACTACCTGGAAAGCATAAACTTGCATTCTGCAATTTGTTTTGAGTAAACTGGCCAGAACAAGAAATGGAGTCATCTTGGAACTTTTTGATGTCCATATATGAAGATGCATTAACCTTAACAACATCATCAGTGCTATCAACAGAACCAGTTGCATCTCCAACATTCAATTGATATGCTTCAGTCATTGTTGCATTTAATACTGCAGGTTCCTCACTCACTGATTCAGGATATCCATAGGCAATATGGTCCATTGTTTCACCAGTTCTTGCACTCAGAACCTCATCAAGACATTCCTGTCCAATCTGTGAAATTCCCTTTTCTCCGCAATCATGAGGCAGAAAAGCATCTTCTTCCGCTGGAATGTGTGTTTCTACATAGTCAAGATTTGTAGGACAATCTACCACATGGATTACATCAAGTTCTCTCTGTTCAGCATCATTTGGAATTGCATTAGTGAGTCTCTCATTATACTTTAAACTTGCATTATCAGTTTCAATTTCTAAAATTGAACCAACACTTTCGATCTCTGCTTGTGTAATGGATAGATTTGAACAAACTGGAATGTCATATGATGCACCACTGTGATTAGTTTCTGCACTTTCTTCTTCAGACACAATCTGCAATGAATTTTTGGCACACTCCTCTAAAGAGACCTCCAATGTGTTTGGTACATGAAGTGAAGCATCAGTACTGATATTCTGATCTTTACCATCACTGGAATAACTAATAACAGAGGATGATGAAGAATGATCATCTTTATTTGAAGAGGGAGAATCAGAAAGCTTATGTAAACAGGTTGAATTCTCAACAAAATTGGGCCCCTTATCATTTAGCCTGTCTAAAAGGCCATTTTTAGGAGAAAATAGTTCATCTCTGTTTTGAGAAAGATGATTAAAGATGCTAGATGTGATGGACAAATTGTTACTTGGATTCAGGTGGCCCACATCTAAATTGCACTCATGTTCATTACCAGTAGACAAAGGAATTGGTATATCATCTCCAGCATTGGAAGAAACATTGTCGGGATTTACTGCTGAAGTTGCATGGTTGTTGATAATTTCATCTTGGTTTTCATCAGACACTCTAGTTGGGGGATCTTCACCTGTCCTTCCTTGAACTTCCGAAGTTCTAGGAGCTGATGGGTTAGCTGCATTTTCTACAACACAGACATAATCATTCTCACATTCACCAAGAGTAGAAAATATTTCATTTCTCACTGGTTCTGTCAAAGCATCTTTTATCACGATTGCTTCTTCATCAGCATATCCTGATATAGAAACTAAACCTGGAATAGTTGACCTGGTCATTGTTTCACCAAAGTCAGAACTCTGTCTGTTAATTCCAGCTGTCTTAGCACAAGTGTCATTATCAAAAGCATCTTCTAAGGGCTGGGCAGATGAAAATCCATCATCAGTAGTTTGCAGATGAGAATCACACATCTGAACTCGGCTCCCTGTAATGGCAAAATCTTTGGAAGCAACTTCACCTTCCGAATGAGCCATTTCAGGAGAAGTGCTAGAAGAACCAGAATTGAAAAAGCTGGATATTTCTTTCTTGGATGAACCATTCTCATCATCAGATAACATGGAGTTTCGGATTGAAAGAGAATCTGAAGATTCAGATTGAAGACGTTCATCATTTGTAGCTGAAAACTTACTGCTTTTCACATGCAAATCTTTATCGGGATTCATTTCAGATTCTGAATCCAATTCTGATTCCATGGAGGTAGGGGCATCCATGTAATCGTCTAGATCACTTGAAATATCATCAGATTGGTAACCACTAGTAGTATCTTGTCTATCTCCATCAACTGATATTTCACCATCAGTTGACACATTATGAAATGTAGGCAACGTGCAACCCGCTTCAACACTAAGGCTTTGGTTGGAGATCTCTAAGGATTCATCATAGGTTGCAATCTCATTTAAAGCATCATTGGGTGATATTGGAGCAATAGTGTCTTCACTTTGAGATGGAGATGGGGATGTGTTTCTATTTGTCCATGTAACCTCTTCATTGATGCTCACTGCAACCTCTTCATTGACATTCGCTGCACTATTTTCTACTATATCAAGCCCAGTTTCAGAAGCAACCCTTGATGGTAATTTCAAAGACAATGAATCAACAAAGACTTCATGAACAGTTTTTTGGCCCACTGAAGGAGTTTCTAGTAACTTCTCCATGTAGCTTTTCTCCGTTTTTGAGTCAAATGGAAATCCATTCAGCCTTCTCTTCAATTTCACATGATGTTCAGAGTCCTTACCTCCAGTTTCATTGCGCTCCTCTAAGAGTAACTGGTGGAGTCTGTAAAAACACAATGCACAGATGCCCAAATCAAAATAAACCTAAATATGCTGACAGAAGAATCAATTTGCATTTATAGATAAGAACAGAAGCCTCACTTGGCATGTGATGTGGGTAACAATTCAGGGGTTTTGCCATTCTTACTCCTTGATCCTTTCTTCTGCTATAATTGGAAACATTTAAGTGCAAAGAGAAGTACACGGCAAAATTAGACACCTTCACTCGGCAATGGTTGATTTAGTGCATATACAGAACAGAAGCAATACAAATTCTCTATCCAATTACCTTAGCTTTGCGAGCTTTTGTTTCTCTCTGAACATCTATATTAGAAATTTTGATATACGATGCTTCCCTTTTAAAAAATGATGGATCAGTATAACGCTTTAGACAAGATCCAGCACCAGCAACATCAAATCTGTTCGAAGTTAAACCTTTATGAGATTTTCCTACCCAGAGGAGGTTTATCATTAACGTGAATGACACATTTCTCAAGCTAACTAAAAGAAAATATATACTTGTCTAGAAGGAATAAGCGAGGTGGGCCCCTGCATTCTTCATAAGATTCCATCACATGTCTGGGTAAATCACCCCTGGTAACCATATTTTGGTCCAAAGGCAGATTAGGGTGCCAACCAGTGCCTGCATTCATCATTATTATCATAATCATAATAATTGAAAGAAAGGAAATTTGACTGAACAATAATAGGATTTGATGTGCCAGACCCATTCAGAACTCCAAGTCTCCAAGATGGACTAACATTTTTACCCTTTTAAGAGAATTAGTTAGTTTTCAGTAATAATTGAAAATAATAGACATCATAAATTCATTGACACTAATGATACTAATTCGAAATGCTAGTTTTATAGGTCACATAATTAAAAATGATAAAGAAGCATCGCTTGTACAGGCAAAGGTAAAATGAAGTTTTCAGAGATGAGCTGAGAAAATCAGGGAAATGTTCTAACCAGCATTGTAGAAGAATGAGGATTGATTGGTACGTGAAAGAAATTCCTTTTCAATTAATGGGAGTTCTTCCTCAAGTTGTTGAACTCTGACTGTCAAACTATGGCCTCTAGCAGCAGTTACCATCACTTCTTCGTGCAAATCATGGAATATCTCAGCAGCAAAACTTCAATATTCACAAGACCCAAAAACATATTACATCAGCATCAAGTCACTCATTCTAGTCCTAGAATAAATTTCAGGAGCAAGGGATCACTGAGGGATGATATGCAAATTATGTTGTTTCTACACAACAAAGACTCCTGAAGAAAATTTTGGCCAGAGATCAGTTTATCTAATCAGAAAAAGTGGTGAAAATGTTTATCAAGGTTCAATGCACTATGTTATACTCTCAGGCTTGCCGCACAATCTGTCTATTACATAGACACTATTATATTTCCGGATCTTGAAGTTTCAGTTCTCACTGATCACTGATTTTGCAAATCAGTTCTACCATACAAGTTCTTTACTAACCAATTCTGCAAAGTAACTTCAAAAAAAAATTTAAATAAATAAATAAATAAAGAGAGAGTAAACATTCATTAGCAACCAATAACTCATCCATAATTGAACTCACTAAGCCTTAATTTCTTTACTAACCAATTCTGCAAAGTAACTTCAAAAAAACAATTAAATAAATAAATAAATAAAGAGAGAGTAAACATTCATTAGCAACCGATAACTCATCCATAATTGAACTCACTAAGCCTTAATTTCAATCTAATTGGTTATATTCCAACCATGCAAACCGATTAACAAGAACAACAAAATCAAATTTCTTAAAATTTCCCAACCTAGCCTAGTTCTAGGCACGATCCAAAAGTACGAAGCTGAATTTAAACGTTGAGAATTCCAAGAAACAGTTCATCAAACTAAAAGAAGTAGAATTAAAGCTCAAGCACAACCTGGTGAAGTAAAAGAAAACAGTTCATCAAACTAAAAGGAGTAGAGTTAAGCAGAATAATTTTCAAAAACCAAATTTCGAGGCCATTCATTTCTAAAACAAGTAGAATTAATCAATTAAAGCTCAAGCACAACCTCGTGAACTAAAAAAAAAAAAAAAAAAAAAAAAAAAAACAGTTTATCAAACTAAAAGAAGTAGAATTAAGCAGAAAAATTTTCAAAAACCGAATTTCGAGGCAATTCATTTCTAAAAGAAGTAGAACTAAAGCTCAATCACAACCTGGTGAACGAACACAACACCAAGTACAGTTCTAGGCACGATCCAAAACTGAAGTACGAAGCTCAACTTAAACGTTCACAGTTCATCAATCTAATCAGAATAACAGTAACAGAAATTCGATTTTCGAGGACATTCACTTGTAAAACAAGTAGTCCGTATAAATTCAAAGCTCAAACGGAGCGAGACACGAAACATCAACATCAACAAAAACAACAACAAAAACAATCACTCACTCGGCCAAGTCCCCGAGCTGGCGCAAAACGCCTACAAGTCCAGCCATGGCGACGCCTTCCAGCAGAGCTCCGGAGTCATCCTTATCGACGGCTCTGTACAGCTCGGGATCAGCCAAGCTGTACTCGTCCCGTATCCGGTACCTACTCAGCGGCATTCTCCAAAATCCAACTGCAGAAACCCTAATCCCAATCCCTCAGGAATTCAGCGCTTCCTCTTCTACTGCATTTCGACGCTCAACCGCCAAATGTGCATACGTATGTATGCGTCACGGAGTGGAGGTGAGGTGAAGGCCGCATGGAATTAAATGAATATACTTTTATTATTATTTTACTTGTTTTGTATTAACGGTGGAGTGGGATTAACTAACGCCAGGTGTACGCCGTACGCGTAGGCCTTTCACAGAGCGCTCGTCGTGGCGCTCATTATGGCTGATCATCCTCCGAACAGTACTTGCTTTTATTTACAACGAAATCGCTTTTAAAGGCATAATAAATAGCATTCGTCATCACTTTTCATAAATACGCTCTCCGAAATCCGTATTCCCTCGGTGTTATTTTACGTGTCTGAATCTATTACTGAAGTTATTTTTAATTTAATTTTTTATAATACTAAAATTAGTGTTAATATATAAAATTTATATATTCATAAATTATATTAAAAATATTATTAAATACATAAAATTAAATTTAAAAATAAGTAAAAAATACTTAAAAAATAAACAAATAAAAAATAATTAATTTAATCATTAAATAATAAATAAGAGAGATAAAATAGGACAGAGGGAGTAATAATAATAATAATCAATTCTAAATTTAGTCAATAATAATAATAGGCTATCAAACCTAAAGTCAGCAAAATTAAAAATGTCAATATTTAAGAGATCGTTTTAAAATTAGCTTATAAAATTATAAGGAGTATTATTATTATTATTATTATTATTATTATTATTATTATTATTTACTAAAAATATAAAAAATATAATTTCATCAAATATATAATATTTTTGTAAAATTTTTTGCTAATAATACTAATTATTATTATTAGAGTTAATTTTAGATTTACTCTTTTAACTATCATTCGTTTTCAATTTTAGTCATTGACTTTTAAAATTATCATATTTAGTCTTTAAGTATTGAATCCTTTTCAATTTTAATTCACTATTAGTTTTTCCTTATATAAATCATTAACATTAAGAATAAAATGTTAAGGGTAAAATTGAAAAGTCATGAGCATTTCGCCAGGAATTTGTTTAGATTTCATTTGTTTGAACATGTTCTTTTTCCTCGTATTCTTAAAATTGAAATTAAGAAGAAAAAATAAACTTTTTCTCTTACCAACCAAACATCGTAATATATAGGTTATGAATGTGACAACCAAATCGGATAGAGATGGTATAATGTTTCTAATTATTTCCATTCAAATAATAGAACTCTTCTCGTTGCAACCTTCCTCGTGTCGTATTCCAAGATGTCCTTCACGTTGTCTAGAGGTATGGCCAGAATTGTAGTCCCCCAGTAGTTGTATTGCCCCATGTTAACTAGGTAGCCGGGGACATAGATAATATCACACTCACGAATTTGGTTCATGATGGTCTTGCAGTCAGCGATCAGACTCTCAGCTTTTGGGTGGGTCTCCGTTGTTGGAAAATAATCGCAATGCCAACGCGCTGGCTGGAAACTTTTTAAGAAGCAAGGACACAACTGGTGTATGGTTGAAGGAAATCTGTACTGTATTATAATAACACTACCTTAAAAACGTTATTTGCCCGGTAACGGTGCAGTTAGAACCCTGGCACGCTTTCGACAGGCTACACAGACCTACTACGGATAGCTTGTTCTAGCAACCACGTAGGCGAACCTGACTATATATATGCTAAGACTAGAGGGTATGTACGAAATGAAGAAAGTCAAAAAAGGAAACTTCCTTTTTGAGTGCATTCATCAACAGAGAAGTATACTATATTTATACTGATGGAGCTCTAAGCATGACCACATTCTCACACAAATATAGGAAGATTTAACTCTTGACTTTGTTTTCTTTCATTCCCATGTTCACATGAATTGTGTGGATGAGAAGTATGTGAACCCACAAAATTAGGACAAGGATGATGACTTTCACGTTTGAACGTTTTTTTTTTTTCCAACAATCCCCCACACGTTCAAAGTAGAAGGCTAGAAAGGATAGTGTCTGAGCAATACAGCGAGTTGATCTTAATGTCTATGTTTGAGAACTTGAACTGACACGTAGTGACATTGAGTAATTTTTTTCCCGATAGTGATATGAATCTTGAACTCACCGGTTAGATAAATTTTGAACTCTAACGCACACACCAACTCTATGAAGCAGGTTCTAGAAAAGTCAAACTCTTTGACTTCTTTTGAATACTCTTAGTATTCAAGTCTTTATGTCTGTCTTAATATATACCTCAACCTTGTCAAAGTCTATCTCAATATAGACTTTTAACTCTGACAAGTCTTATCGCATTATAGATTTTTACGTCTTGTCAAGTCCATCTCAATATAGACTTTAGCTCTATTAAGTGATTAAGTCTATCTCAGTATAGACCACCTCTAAAAGCTTATAGAGTAGTAAAGACATAAATTAGTTGTAAGTCTTTTCTTTCTATCATAGACGACACTGTCGTTTGCACTGTCTTTGGCAATGCAAACGACAGTTTGTGAATCACAATGTATATGTAGTGAAGGTGTTGGACCCCCCCCCCCCCCCCCCCCCCACAACTGCACGTTTATCAACATATTTCTTAGCCACTCAACTTCTTGAGATACCCCCCCCCCCCAATTATATTTCATAAGAGGCGGTTAACCATTTTTCACTCAAGTCAGGATCTCGTTAGGTCTACCTCAAAATAGACCACCCCAATTGAGTATAAGTCACTAAGAGCACTTTTGTACTCAAGTCATTATGCGGTGAATTCATTAGGTTTGTCTCAACAAAATCACCATTCTCACAGAGTTATGAATTCATTAAGAGCTGTAGCTCAGCCTCACAAGTACACACATTGTAGGAATGACCAACTAGTGTACTACTTTGTAATTCTTTTTATGGTTTCGTTTGACCACAAAAGTGGGACCCACCACGAATTCATTACCACTTAGACTTTAAGTCCTTCTAATGATTCAACGATTAATCCTCATAATTAGCCTTCAAGTAAGTTGATTCTCTTAATCAAACTTACATGCACTTTGACGAGTACTTCGTTTACTCGTAAATAATCCCTTGAGATTTTCATGCTTAACATGAAACATTCTCTTTCACCATTATTCTCAATAGCACAGAGAAACTTTTGGTGAAAATATAAGGAGTTAATCACCCCCACAATGCAACACTAAAATATTTTTCTCAAAAGTATTTGATCTCTTACCCAGATTGATCTTTGGTGCCCAATATTAGCTCCTTTGTAGACTGAGTTTTGCCAATTTGCTTTGTTGAGCATTATAGTAGCTCTGCACTATGTCTGATACATACTCAATAGTTGAATATATTTCAACAAACTTGGTTATCTCAATCCATCATAATTACCCTTTAAACAGGAATTATAGGTCTTTCAAGATGACTCAACCAAGAATTTAAATAATATATATACAAATGCTCATTGTTAGTAAGCCATAGAGATAATGTTTTCCACATGCTACTTCAAGTTGAACAACATAATCACAAATTTCACATCATATTCTTACAAGAAATTAATCTCATACGCAAAGAATATGTTCAAACTAACATTTATTAATTAGGAAATATCTCTCAACAAGGTGAATTCAACAAGTATAATTTCAACACTCAAAGTTGCCACCTACACAACTTTCCTTCACTTGAGGAGATTGAGACTCATATGAAGCATTCATATGATGCAGATCAGTATTACTATGGCAGTACTTCAACAATTTCTATTGCAAGGCTTTGATTGTTTAACAATATATGGAAGTCAACCTCATTTCAGGTAGAGATCAAGTGGCACTCTAACTAGCTTGTATGATCAACACCCTGCTTTTTAAGTACTCCCAGGTCGAGTGGTGAAACCGGAGTTTACTTAAAAACCATCTTCCTAGACAGAGTGTTCAAGAATGATGACTTTTCCATGTTCTCATTAAATTAAAATTGAAGCCTTTGATATATGCTTTTATTTTAATACAAATAATTTTTAGTAAAAAATTTGAGCAATATCTATACACAAAATTATTTCAATCAATGTCATTAGTATTCAACATACTAAAGAAATATATAAGTACTACTAAGTAATGAAAATCTAGACACCTCATATTCAGTATTAAGACAATTATACTTCATGCGAGCCCTTATAACTAGAGAAAATTAGAGTTACTCAAATAACTACTTATTTAAAGAGATGCAATACTCATCTTGCTCTGTCAAGTTGACTTCTACTAGTTTTGCCCTTGCGGTGGTAGCACTGGTATGCTCGGTGTCCTTGCTTTCCGCACATGAAACATCTTCTTTTGAACTTCTTGACTTTTCCATTCCTTTTATTATTGACATTTCTGACACTTTGATTTACAATATCATTGCCACCGTACGTTTCGGACAGCGATTCCCAAATGACTTTTGCCGAGTTTTGTTTGACATAGATGTCAAACAACTTGTCATTCATTTGTGACAGAAGTTATCATCTGGCTGCCGCATTGTCATTTCTAAACTGCATCAGAGTTACACCCGATTCTTGACCAGGAATGTAATCTATTTCAGGGTTGCTTTCTCTCGATTCCTCACTCGGAGTGTAATCAGGTTCATGGCTAGCTTTTCTAGCACCAAGAAGAGGGAATACTGCTGGAGTAGGTTCAGGTGCAACTGAATATAGCACGTAAGCCAACTTTAGTTGTAAGACATAACATCTTTGACTAAATTTGAAAAGGGATAAGAGTCAAATAAGCCCTCCAACTATATGTCAAAATGTAATTAGACCCTCGAACTAAAAAAGTCTTCAATTAAACCCTTAAATTAATTAAAATTGTTCAATTAACATATTTAGCAGGTTACCAACAAGTAACTTGTTAATTTTGATTGCATGACATCCTATGTGGAATCTCATTTTGAAAATAAAAATAAACTGAAAATAAAAAATAAAACTAATTTTTTTTAAGAAAAAAAAAAAAAAAAGAAAAATTCGTCGATTTCTTCATCCCTCGAACGAAGAAGCCAGCAAGCTTCGCCATATGTTTAGAACGGAGAAGCCATGGCTGTTCCGTTCAAATCGGACGGAGAAGCCAGCCCCATCCATTTCGGACGAAGAAACCCGCAAGCTACTTCGTCCATGTCGAATTGGACGGAGTGCCGTCCAGTTCGACATGGACGAAGAAGCCATGACAGCTCTCTGCCATAGCAATCTGTCTTTTTTTTTAAAAAAAAAATATATAATTATTTCAATATATTATTTTAATAATTTTAAT